AATGAGAATGTCTTTCGTTCATTGTAGCAATATGTGCCTAAACTTCTTTCATGTAACACAATGGCACTGGTACCCAGAAACGATTTTTCTGATTATGAATAATATATCTTTAATAACAAATTTGTGGCATTGGAATTGATACTTTAATGATGATACAGACGAAACCATTATATTTTACTTTAAAAAGTATTGCTGGAATACCAAGTGGAGACAAAAATGGATTATTGTGTGATTTAGAGCAGGGTTTGACACTCTGAGATATAACATATTTCAAATATTGCCTGATCATATCTCGCGCAATGGAAGGATCTTTCTCTTGCCACAAGACTGTCGGCCAACATCAGATACAGTTTCACCATGGGTAACCTACGAATGATATTTATAGCTTCTTTCAACTCTGAATAAAGGTAATATTTTATGAAACTTTACGATTATTTTTAAATTATTATTGTTGTTTAGTTTTCATTTACCTTTATTTCTTTTTTTATACTTCCAGAATAAGTTTTCTCTGTTCTGAAATTGTTTGAACTAATTTAACTAAACAATTTTTGAATTTTGTTATTGTTCATGAATGCGTAAAACTATTAACTGTTAGAGCATATTTCATTAGTTCTGGGGCATATTTTACAAATGTTAAGACTGCATAATATTTGCATGCATATTTCTCCTTTTGATACAGCAATAAGTTCCGAGTCATATCATACGTAAAATTACAATTTGTAACGAACAGGGAACGGATTTCTATGATATGGCATATTTTTGTCCATTGCGTCAGTGTATGGCTAAGTGAAATTTCTTGGCATTTGGTTAGAATATGATGCTACATAGATTAATATGATAGTGAACATTTGGCCAATTTTTCCTGTTGGAGCATATTCGTATAATTACAGGTACACATTTTGCATATTTTGTTAAAAAAGAGATGTATCTATAAAATGTTTTATTTTTTTATAGAATCTATATTTGTGACTGTTCAATGATTCGAAAGAGCTTGTCTCAATTTGCATTTTTTTTTTCTTTCTATAGATGATAAAATACTTGTGCAAATGCCATGATATTTCTTCATGACATTTTTTGAAACCAATCAATAGGACATCAATGTACATCACTAACATGAATATTTATTTCTCTCATGAAGAAGGGCAGATTATATTATGATTGCACAAAAATATATACTTTCATTCCAAACATGCTTCCCCTGAATTCTATCAAGAAAGGTTTAAGGTAGAAATAAAATATTGATCATTTTAATTGCATATTAAAGTACATATTTCAGAACTTTTAGGTCATAAATGCATATTTTTAAAAGCATATTTCAAGATTTTGTAGGGCATAAAAATCTTCTTCCTAGTAAAGAATTTCCAGCATGTTTTAAAAAATATTAGTAAAAGCATTCTTGCTTTATGTTCTTGTGAACTTCTGGAAAACCATTTACTGAGGTTTTGTTCACATGCATTATTTATGCCACTGCAGGCTTTTAATTTACCACTCCTTACCAATCAATGTTTTCTACACATAAAAAGGAGGTACTAAGAGGTAATTTAGGACCTCAATATTTTGGATGAAATATAAAAATATATAAATCTAGCCATTTTAATAAAAAATAATTTAATAACATACACAAACTAAAAGCAAAGGAGCTTCAAAGATAATAAGTTAATGTTCATTCACATCGGGGAAAAAATTTTAGAAATTGAACTTATGTTATATTTAACAGTATTTAACAGTAACAGTTAACAGTGTCAATAATTACTTGAGCACCCTGGAAATACTGTATTCATTGCTGTTTTAAATCAATACCTGCTCTTATATGATTAGCAAAGGAAACAGGATTTGTCATCAACACCATGAACAACAATGACACAGAATGGGTCACAAAGGAACAACATGTAAGGTTACATGCATTATATGATTAGCTGCACTAAACCAAACAAAACACACGGTTATGACATCAAAGGTTTTTATTGTTAAAAATTTTAAAATAAAACGAAGTTCTCTAACAAATTTAAATGTTTAATAAAAGTTACATAATCACACTTTATGATGTTTACAGCAATATCATAAAAACCAGACCACAAAAG